CCCACTCGTCTGATAATCAGTTATCATTTGATAACGAATGATTATACAAACAAATAAGCTCTAGCAAATTCATTAAAATGTTCTTCTTTTCATATGGTCCTTGTTTATGTAAACACATATATCCTTATTCTTTATTTCATTAGTATATAGTTCACAGTCAATACTGAAAAAAAACAATCAAAGAATGCTAAATGACAGTTATTTAGCTATAATAAGAAAACTTAGTTCAGTGTAAACATTCTAATGATATGCGTTCATAAAACTGACCATATGCTCATCTGCATTAAGATATATTCACGGTAATACAATTTGGCTACCAGCTTAATTTATTTAATCTAAGGTAAACCTCAAGGGAAATCACGGATTGGTTAGTGATCTACGACCAAGTCAAGACTGCTTTCAGTGAACAAAGTATAAAAATAGACTTTTCCCTTTATATGTTGTCGAAACAATAATTGTAAAAATTTATTACTATTCATTTAGCAATGTAACTATATTCCATTTTATCGAACCATAATACACTGATTGTATTGTAAAATGACGGCAATTTTATCATTCTTTGTATAGAAAATATTTCATATAGCTAAATGAATTCGGACCTCATTTTAACTATTTACTATCAAACAAGTTTAATTTACTTTCAACTAGTGTTGATATATTCATTTATCACTCAGAATCAATTGCTTATTAAGTGTTTGAATCAAAATATACTGAGTTCAAATTTATATGTACAAAACACTGTACATCCATGAAATATCTATGAGATAGTGTTAAGATTCTAATATTCAATCAAAGCCTAATGCTTTTGAAGTGACCATCAATTTATTTCCACTAAATGTAGAATGTCTAACATTATATTAGTGCATTCCATTTAGTAAGTCCTCCTGTAGCTCTTCTAGGGTTGTTGACGTTCCCAAACTGGATAAACAAGGAGGGTTGGGCATAGGATCAGCAAACCAATCCAGTAGAAAACAAATTTGCTAAAAAATTAGCTAACTTGGATAAACAAATTAAACAGTTTAAACTTAATGGAACTGAAACATCAGAGAAATAAGTCAAAGTTATAAAAAAATTAACACTTTCCAACACCGTTTTGCTAAGGCATTTTCCAATAACATTATACGGGGAGTGTCATGTGTTCGTGACGTGAGTAGAATTAGTAAGTTTGTTGTGGCTGCTACTATATCAAGCCCATATAGGTTATTCTTGCCTCTGGGCAGACCAATTCTTCTTGAATCATATTTTGGCCTTGATAATTATTAGCGTTGATTTTATATGATAGTGTGTGCGTGCATTATGTGTCATTATGTGTCCGTAACCTATTTTTGTCTGACTACATATATTGAGTCATGCTTGGTTAAATGGAGTCGATTCACTCGACTGATTCAAGTAGATTTATATTCATAGCATATTTATACACTCATTAAAATTGGATTTATATCCAGCCAGCTTCAAGTTATTCATTTTTCCAGTTTAACCTTTCCAGTGTTCTAAAATGTATAAATTCCTGCGTAATATATAACTTATAAGTTTTAGTAAAACCCATCTTTATGAGCGATTCTCTTTCTTTTGGAAAATAGCTTCACTCTTCAAACTATTTTGGTAAGTTAATGCAGTTGATGGTATATATTTATCATAACTATCCTCTGGTATATTCGAACAGTGGGATATTATTTGGGTGTAATAAGTATAAAATACGAAAGATGTATAAAAAGAAATCTGTCAAAAACAAAATCATTTTACATAAACTTCTATTTTGATAAATGATGAAATAGTAATTCATTTTTATTGTAACAGATCGCTTATTATTACACACTGTCTATAAACTCTGTTTCTTAACTGATCGATGTGTATGGATTTTTTATGTGCAATTATTAATACAGGCTTACGTATCACTGTTACAGTTATCTCAAATAAAACCTGAGTTATGATCATTCACTGATATAAATAAAATTTATAATCTGTAGTTTATTCGTAAAGAAAATTCATTGCATAACTCACCAAACAAGTAAATGTTCATCGAGCAGAGAATATAAGAGACAATAATGCGTTACACTTAAATGTATGACCTGTTGAATAGTTTGAGGTAAAATATCTCAGTCGCACTACAAATTTAAACCAGTACTGTAGTATCAGTTTATATGTTAAGCCCATATACTTTATTCTAGTTGCCGGTCAAGCCAATTCGCTTATCCATTATGAGTCATATTTTGATCTTGTTAATCATTTGCTTATTAACCTTGACTATACTTTTATATGAGCATATATGTGTACACTTCGTATCTTATTAATCGTATGTCTGTCACTCATTTTTGTCCGACTATAAATGTTGATTAACACTTGCTTAAATCGAGTTGGCTTCCCCGCCAACCTCTAGTACGCATAATCTTGCGCCTCGCTCTCGATTTGGCTTCCCAGCTATCTCCAGTACGCATCATCTTTCGCTTCGTTCTCGAGTTGGCTTCCCAGCCATCTCCAATACACATCATCTTTCGCCTCGCTCTCGAATTGGCTTCCCAGCCATCTCCCATGCATGTCATTTCCTCCTCGTTCGCTTCCTTCGCTTATTCGCCTGTTCACTCGCTCGTTATTATTCGCTCAGGTGTTATTAACTTTCTGACCTGAGTTATTTGACAATAAACTGTAGTTGCTGCTATCCTTTGTCTTCTGCTTTTACGTGCCGTTAAGATTACAATTATATCGGTTATCGAAACGAACGATTAATGAATCGCGGCACTACAGTACCCATAAACTTTGATATTGAGAAGTTTGAGGTCTGTGACATGTACTGAAGTCAATACGTGAAGGTAGAAAATGAATTGAATTATGCCATATCATCATATGTATCTCTCCATTGATTATGGGTACTAAATAGCCCCTAATCTGGAAATCTGAACCCTCCTGCAAGGCTCAGACCAATTGATCGTTCCATGTACCGATACTATGCCTCAGCATGAACAAACTCGGCTTTCTTCCGAACAACTCTTACTCCAACCTACATTCCCTGTTGAGGCGTTGGTATGATATAGGTAGGAAACATGCTGTTGCGTAGTATACTATCATCTTAGTTGACAGACGGGCATCTAGCATGAGTCATCGGTAGTGTAGGTTATTAATAGAGACTTGTGTATCTGTTTCATCAAATACTAACATCCCAGAGCTAATGAATTGAAGCATTAATGAACTGGTTAGTGATGTTATAATAAGTATTAAATCATAATTTTAGTTTTGTATGGTAGAGTTTATTCATATGAATATTCAAATAGTCCATAGTTTAAATAAATCAAAAGCGCTTTAATCTATTGTATATGTTATCTAGCCGAAGTATCACATGAGTTTATGCAACTCGTCCATAAAACATTTTCACAAGTCTGTTTTAGTATTTTTTTAAAAATAGTTTGATGAAGAATACATTTTTGAATTGGCTAAACAAATGATTAAAAATTCCATAGTACACATTAAATTCTAATTATATGACAATATCCACTATTATTCTTCAAACTTCAAACAAGATTGAATTCTTTTAAATTTGATTGTAATATGGTATCCTTTACAGCTACGAAAACAACACGAATATTTTCTGTATCTGAAATTATGAAAAAAATTCATATATCGGTAATGAAATGATGAATGATTATTTATTTGATTTCAGATTGCATATTTCAATGATGTGTAATGAAGAATCTAATGATTTACACCGTAGAATAACAGACTATATGACCTATAAAAAGTGCTGAAAGCAAATATGATATAGAAATCTAAGATTTTGCTTTAGTTTATATAGGCAGCTTAACTAATAGTGTAGTGAACAACAACACGAGTGGGGACAATTGAAAGTATTAAGGCACACAATTACTGAATATCTGATAGAAATATCAGAACAATATAGTAAATAGTTAATTTGCAAACTATCAATCAACTGTCTCGATCTTGACCGGTTCTTCTGCAAATATCAGTCCATAGTCTCCAATTATTATTGTTTTTGCATTTTCATACCAAAAGTGTTTCACTCCCGTTCTTTCGTTATCGATCTTCTACTGACATTTTTTGTTACATTTCAAGGAATATTTTAAAAATTACTTTGCAATGTAAACGCATTTATGTAAGGAATATAATATACTTCAAGAGTAGATGATCACATCATTGTGTTTTCAGCTAAGTGATATGATATCATCTCATTAGAATGTTTACACTGAACTAAGTTTTTTTATTATAGCTAAATAACTGTCATTTAGCATTCTTTGATTGTTTTTTTTCAGTATTGACTGTGAACTATATACTAATGAAATAAAGAATAAGGATATATGTGTTTACATAAACAAGGACCATATGAAAAGAAGAACATTTTAATGAATTTGCTAGAGCTTATTTGTTTGTATAATCATTCGTTATCAAATGATAACTGATTATCAGACGAGTGGGAATAATCACTAAGTTTTAGAAAAATCCCAAAGGCATAAATCAATAACGGTTGTTAAGCTTTATGTCATGTCAATTAACGACGTAATATTTCGGTCTTCAACAAAAATTAATTGTAACTAACCGCTAGAATCTTTGTTCTTGCTCTCATCAAAATAATAAAAGGAACTATGTGTATCACAAGTGATATGCCATCTCACATATCCGAATCAGAAAACTTTTCATTCTGGTGATTTTATGATATAGTATTTCATAACTTCGAAATCTCATAATGGAGTCAAATCCTAACTAATCAGTCACATTAACAAAAGTTAAGAAACCACTTAGTGTTTGGATAAGTTGTATACAACACTAAAGTTCATTATGCCGAATAGGATAGCTAAGTGGGTTTTTTCTATCGTAAAATTTAAATTTTACTAAGTACTACATTCTCACTTTAAACTAAAAGTGATTATCAAATAATAAATATTATATAAATTAGAAAACCTTTCTTACCTGTAGCACACGTGAAATGTGAATAAATTGGTCGTTCTGAATTTGCGCTTGATTCTAGATACATTCTCAGTATGAAATTACGTGCAGCTATTGCATCGTTTTCTGGACCTAAAAATAACTAAAATACTCTATTTTCATCTTTAATTAGTATTAAAATTTACTTTGTTGTCAATGTATATTACTGAGTGAAATATATTTCATCGCAAAAGTACCACTATTGTGAATACGTGAATGACAAAACTGACAACTTATGTTGCTTTCACAGTGTTAAAAATCTAATTTATATGTGTCATCCACAGAATTTACCACTGCCTTGTGTTTTCCTATTCAAAACAGTTTAAATTTGTAGTTTCAAATCATTGGTCAACTTTAGCATTTCAAAGGCAATAGAGAACTGTTTTGTTCTAGTAGGAATCTATTTAGTACTGCATATCTTTGATTGAACACAGAACAACCTCTTTATATTCGGATTACTGAGCTGTGATCCAAAATTTTACGTTTTTTACCCCCAATAAATTGCTATTTTGTGAAATCATCATCTGATGTAATCGTCGCCTCCTCAAAGTGGTTTAACCTCAATAGTCAAGGCTGTAGGATTTATTTCGTCCTACAGATACACTATTAAAACTGTAAACGCCATACTGGCGATCCCAGAGTCTATGTGAAAGCTATAGTCAGAACAAGGACAACTTCGCTTTAAACTTTATCTGTTTCTAAACATAAAAACAATCAGATTAGTACAATAATTAAAGAATTACAGTCAATAAGTGAAACGCACAAACATACCGACCAGTATTGCGTATCTTAATAAAATGAATAAATTTATAAGTTACACTAATATAATAGGATAATAATGTCTTTCAATTGGTAAGTCACATGCAACAGGGATAGTTTACAGACATATCAGATCAGATTGACGTGGTGGGAGCTTAAGCAACGATTTGATTGGTTAGTTATGGACATAACTAACAAAGGCTTCTCAATAAAACTACGGGAATCACCCATCCAAGTTAATCACTAGTATCCTCTTAATGGTCTTCGGTATAGTTGTTTTCAATCACCGCTTAAATGAACTCATTTACTAATGAGAAATTAAAAATTCATAGTTTCAATCCCTAGTAGAGTCATGGAGGGGCACTACTAAGGAGTCCCATTCTAATGCTTAAGTGTCTGTCCATTGCTTCCTAGTTTTCAGTGGCCATTATATTAAAATCAGCCTTCTATTTTAAACCACAAATTTAACAGTCTTCGCAAACCTGTATAGTAGAAGTTCCATTTTAATTTTTTTTAATATTGTCTATTAACAAAGTAATTAACTTTGTAATACTGAAAGACATTTTCAGTAGTACAGACACTATCAAGAAATATTGATATCATTAAAAAGGAACTAAACCGACTTTTTGTCATAGAAGACATTAAGTTTGTAAATATACCATATAATAAAAACAGGAATTGTCTGACCATTTATTCATACCAGTAAATTTCGGGAAGTAATCAACCAAATGTGAATATTGTATCTTCTCTTCCAAAATATCCTTTTTGTTTAAGAACAATATAATTGACAATGATTGGAAGCATTCGTAATTTATAATAGTTTTGAAAAGTAGAAGACTTTCTTCCATTCGATTCTTGAAATATCCCGAAATAAAAATAAAATTACCGATTGTTTATTATAAGTATTCAACAAATCTTATAGCTAATCTGTAGTAAATGATTGATAGTTTTATCAAATGTATGTTTAATATAGCTGCTTCAAATTTGTTTACTTATATATTTTTCGGTGACAAGACAAATAATATGTTAGTTTATTTTATTTATTTATTTATTCAATGTTATCCTGTAGTGGGTTAGCTTTGTTAATTAATCACCTTGATAACCGTTATCACATAAATCCCAAGGGTATTTGAATTCAGAAGGCAATAAGAAGCAGCGACTACAGTTTATTAGCTGATGACATGGATAACAAAGACACAGTCACATCGAGTGAATTTGAAGCAGAGAGAAGAATGTGTGTATGCTAGCAATTACAGAAACAAATTTATAGTCAAATCGAATAAGGCTCAGCTAGGCACGGCAAAGGCTAATAATAGGATCCATGAACATGTATACGTGGGGATGTCGAGTCGAAGACGGACTATGATCACCACTACAATTCGTTTACGCGACGAAAAACGACTTGGTTCCTTTGATAGCTCGTAAATCAGAAGACTCTATTAATCCAGATCAATTGTATTTATTGGCGATCTCGTGGTATCGAAATAATACCGAGACGTGCCAAAGAGTACAGGCGAACAGGCAGTGCTTGAGCAAGTTCGAACCAAACAAGGCGGAGAGCGAAAGCAGAAGTGAAACTGATACAGTTAAACAAATACAGTAAAACAATCTCAGGTACAATTGGTTACAATAATAATAATTGTTTCCGTTATTCCAATCGTGTTCTTATCGAGACTGGCCGGTCACTACAAGAGAATGATTCATCAGAGGATATTTTAGATATCGACATTTAAGCCTGAGATATGTGCGTAGGCTGTCACATATGATCAAGCATACTCGTTTATACATACATGTCAGTGATTATAATATTATAAAGAAAGATGCCGATTGTTACTACTCGAATGACATTGTCTGTTAAGTTAATAATCACCATCCATATTATTACTGTTACCTATTTTACTCATATAAACCGTAAGTGATCATTTAGGAAAAAAAAAAACAGTTAAATGCGATCTTTCTCATCTGTGTTTTGGATATGTATAAACAAGAACATTGACCGAATTTTTTGTGTATGCTGCATATGCTGCATAGAAGTTAAAAGACTAGAGACTGTCAAATATGGAGTTATGTTTTCAATCCTGTTTATTGTCACTTTAGATTGTATGTAGTAAGTAAAAAGCAATCAGATAGGACGAATTTTGTTTAACATCTGTAAATTATGTTACTTTTGCCTTTTTCAGAATTATTTAAAGATAAAAATAAATAAGAAAACAAACTTCGACTTTAACAAAAAATTGAATGTTATGTTTAAAATAATTGTTCACGTCATTTTTAATATCTTTTGGCTAACTTAGAAAAAAACAAGACATACAATATTTGAAAACATGGAAGTAAGAAAAAGGCTGATGTTTTCTTAATTTTAATGGTAGACAAATACAAGATATCTAGAAATAAACATTAAAATCCTTTATAAAACCAGAGAACTCATAAAGACTAACCAGAAAAAATTATTCAAACCATTTAAACTCAGCCCTGGGAATCAGAAGGTCTTCATTTAGAAGAGCTATGATGCCTCATGGGGAAAGCCGAGTTCTTTCGGAAGTCACGAAGCCGATGCTCCTTTTAACAACCGAAGCAACAATTAACATAGGTACATGGAATAGTCGCATAATGTGGGAGACCGGGAGGGTCTTCCAAATTGCTGCAGAAATGAATAGATGCAACTTGGAGGTGCTTGGGATCAGTGAAACACATTGGACGCAGGTTAGACAACAAAGAATGGCTTCAGAGGAGCTTCTGTTATATTTCGGCCATGAAGAAGAAAATGCTCCACATACACAAGGCATTCCACTGATGCTTTCCAAAGAAGCACCAAAAGAACTTATAGGATGGGAATTCCATGGACTAAGGAACTTCATTCAAAAAAAGAAAGAGGGCATTACAATGAACGTCATTTTATGCTATGCGCCTACCAACCACTACAATGAAGACGTAAAGATCCATTCTACGATAAGCTGCAATCGATCAACGAGAAGTGCCTAACAAAGAACTTAACCATTCGGATGAGAGATTTAAATGCCAAGGTTGGAATGGACAACACCGAATACGAAAACATCACAGGACTACATGGACTGACTGGGAGAAAGGAACGAAAATGGTGAGAGATTTGCAAACCGATTTGTCTTCAATAAACTGGTCATAGGCTGCACCATATTCCCACATAAATGCATACACGAATCCACATAGATTTCACATCACATTACGCAGAACCAAGTCGGAAATATCTGCATCGATACAAAATTCAGAAGGACGATAGAGGACGTGAGAACCAATAGGGGAACTGATATAACCTCGAATCATCACTTGCTGGTCAACAAGATGAAACTGAAACTCAAGAATCACTGGACAACTGGGTGGACAAAATCAATGGGGAGGGATCCACTACGGAGAGCAACTGGAAAGGGATCAAAGAGGCAATCATTTCAACATGTCAGGAGGTTCTGGGTCACAAGAAGCATCATCACAAGGAATGGATCACTGTCGGTACACTAGATAAGATTAAAGAAAGGAAGAAGAAGGCAGCAATCAATACCATCCGAACAAGAGCAGAAAAAGCTAAGGCACAGGCTGAATACACAGAAGTAAACAGACAAGTGAAGATGAGCATCGAATCTACTAACGTAAATATGTGGAAGATTTAGCAATGACGGCGGAAAAGGCTGCAAGAGAGGGAAACATGAGACAATTGTATGACACAACAAATAAACTCGCTGGAGATTACCGTAAACCAGAACGACCAGTGAAAAGCAAGGAAGGCAAGGTGTAAAGTGTGATCGACAAGTAAACACACCAATGATAGGTGAAACGCTCACCACCGCACTAAATTCTTTGACCTTGTATGACTGTCTTTGTTTTATCCACCAATCACAATTTTATGTTCATTCTGAAACAATATTCTCCCTTTTTGACTCATTTTTCCTATTCTCCAGTTACTGTTCGGTAGGTCATTTATATTTCTCCCTTTCACTATGTAATAGACTACTGTTCATTCGCATACTAATGTTGTTAATTTACGTTTTAGAAACAGATAAAGTTTATTAAGCCAAATAGCTTACTTGTTTTGACTTTGGCGAAACCAAGACTCTGTATTCGACAGTTTAGAGAATAGCTTAAAGTTACCCCTGTAGGAAATAGCTTCCTACACAAGGTAATCAATAAAATTGAAGAACAACGAAATAGGTGGATAGAACACTTCAAAGAACTCTTGAATCGACCAGCTCCACCGAACCCACCCAACATCGAAGCAACACTCACGAACCTCCCAATCGATGTTGGCTCACCAGCATTTGAAGAGAACAGCATGGTCATCAGACAAATGAAGAGTGGCAAACAAGAAGGACCAGACAACACTCCAGCAGAGGAACTGAAAGCAGATGTAGCAGCAACTACAAACATACTCCACATTCTCTTCAGTAAGATTTCGTATGAAGAACAAGTACCAACAAACTGGAAAAAAGGACTTCTGATCAAGATACCAAAGAAAGGTGATCTCAGCAAGTGCGATAACTACAGAGGCATCACTCTTCTCTCAATACCAGAAAAAGTCTTCAACAGGGTATTGTTGAACAGGATGAAGGACTCCGTAGACGACAAACTTCGAGAACAACAGGCTAGATTTCGTAAGGATCGATCGTGTGCAAACCAAATCGCAACTCTACTGAACATTGTGGAACAACCAATTAAATGGAATTCATCACTCTACATCAACTTCATTGACTACAAGAAAGTATTTGATATCGTGGACAGAACAACACTATGGAAGCTTTGACACTACGGCGTGTCCGAGAAAATGACCAACATTATACGGAATTTTTATAATGGATTAAACTGCAAAATCATGCATGAGACACAGTGGACAGCTAGGATGAAGCTGGACGATCTAGACTTTGCAGATGATCTGGCTCTTGTATCACACACGCAACAACAAATGCAGGAGAAGACGACCAGTGTAGCAGCAGCAGTAGGTCTCGATATACACAAGATTCTCTGATACAATACAACATGAACCAATCGAATCGCACTTGATGGAGAAGCTTTTGAGGATGTAAAAACCCTTACATATCTGGGTAGCATCATCGATGAACATGGTGGATCTGATGAAGATGTGAAGACGCGGATCGGCAAAGCGAGAGCAGCATATTTACAACTGAAGAACATCTGGAACTCAAAACAATTGTCAATCAACACCAAGATCAAAATTTTCCATACGAACGTCAAGACATTCATACTGTATGGGGCGGAAACTTAGAGAAATACGAAAGCCATCATCCAGAAGATACAAGTGTTTATTAACAGTTGTCTAAGCAAAATGCTTCGGATCCCTTTGCCAGACATTATCAGCAACAACTTACTGTAGGAGAGAACAAACCAGATTCCATCCAGAGGAGGAAGAAATGCAGGAAGTGGATAGAACTCTCATGGAGTAAATTGCTCACCTGCGTCACAAGGCAAGACCTCACATGGAATCCTGAAGGCCAAAGGAGAAAAGTAAGACCGAAAAACACATTACGCAGAGAAATGGAAACATATATGAGAAGAATGAACATCAAACGGATAGTAGTAGGAAGGAAGGCCCAGAACAGAGCGGGTTGGGGAATGGCGGTCGACGGCTTATGCTCCATTGGGAGTAACAGGCTTAAGTAAGTAATAGAGGTATATCACCAAAAACTGTGATTAAAGTAATCTTCAGTTTGTCGACAAGGTATTCTAAACCTAGGTTTTATGGTAGTTTACATTCGTTAACAAGGTGTACACGTAATTTTAAGGGAACTGATGCTCCGTATGAGATTTTTGAAGATTTTTCTAACAATACAGTAAACGAAATACATCATGAACTGTTAAATCACACGTTAAA